TATATATATATATATATATATATATATATATATATATATATATATATATATATATATATATATATATATATATAAAGGCATGTTTAAAATTCTAAAATAAAAAAGAAGCTTAGATAGTCTTACCACTGGAATATGAAAAGAACCCAGACTTTGTAGCAGAGCCATAGAAACACCAGACCCAGCGTCACCTATGATAACTGAGGACAGCGTTCTGTTCACAGCAGAACATCCTAAATGAAGGGCTTCATTTTTACTCGCAATTCTCCTTCCTCTCTCAGCTTTAAGGCCTCTCTCTGGCTCCCCATTCACTAACAAAAAGGATGCTCTCAAGGAAACAGATATCTCATCACAGCTGTCAAGAATGTGGTACCCAAGTTTGAGTTGTGGCAAGAGATCGGTGCGCTCGTTGATTTCTCTGATTGTAAAAGCCATTGTCTGCATCCAGCGAAGGGCACGAGCACTGAAACTGTAGACAGAGAAATAATTATTCCACATTTATTTTTATAAACAGTACTGCAACCAAATCAGTTAAGAACATTTTGCACAAGCCAATTGAATGTTTATAACTTACTAATTATAAGAATTAGGTGATGGTCTTTCTTTAAATGTGAGAAGAGAGGGTACAGGGCTGTAATGTAGAGGGAATAAACCCCCAATAACTACATCACCATCTTCATAAAGACTGTTTGACCCTTCTTCTCCCAGGAAAACACAGTTATATTGAGCAGCTGCTGATCCCTGTTTTCCTTTGAATAGAGACAGAGAGAAAAGGAGCGTGGCAGCCAGCAAAGCCATGTTTGCCTCAGGTATCAAGAAAAGTGTAAAAAAGCCTGCCACACAAAGAAGATTGAAATAAAGTTTGAAAAAATCCGATATTTATACTGTAGTTGGCACACATGTCGGCACCACCCAGAAAAAATGGTTGCAGCATAATTGGTTGTGATACAGTACCTTCTGCTCTGTTGGATACTGCAAATGAGCTTTATCATTAGATCTTATGTTGAAGCTAATCACACTGTGATAAATAATTTACACCCTTATTACATTTTGGGGATCAATAGTTTTGTTTTTGTTTTTTTTTAGATCTTTTAATCTGCTCTGCTCTGTAGGTTACTATTTTGATCTGCTTAACATGCCAAAAATGCATCAACCCTATAATAATTTTAAAAAAATATGTATCTATCCTCAAAGACAACCAAGGGCTACATTCATTACAGAATTAATGTGACTGTCACTAGAAGTGATCAATAAAGCTTTGATGAAAAAATATTATAAATCACATTTTAAGTCACTGGTGTCACAAATGTGCTTTATTTTTAAATGTAGTGTCTTATTTATTATATTAATGTTTGGCTTCCCCTCTACAATAAAAAACAATCATATGTAAATAAAATTATAATAATAATTTAAAGTAATTAAATGCAGCTTGGTTTAACTGCTATATCTCATATTTTCCTAGACAACATTTTATTAACAAATATAAATATATAATGTGATATTAAAAAATACTTTTAATAGTACTGTTCATTGTAATTGTCATCCAATGATTTTTTTTATATCAAAAATATGTTTTATGGTGAAATTTTTAAAAACAGATCAAGTCCCATGAGTCTACTGTGTAACTTATTATCCTAAATTACCCTAGACTGGCGATAGAGCACATCAATGTATTCTTTTCTTTTTTTTCTAATCAGCATCCCCTTGGTCTTTTCTTTAAAAATGAATATATATTATATAAGTACAGAGTTGGTGCTTTGCTATCTTAAAATGATTCCTTTTAGATATAACTAAATAGTATAGTTTGAAGTATTTTTTTGGTAAATATTGTTCCTTACCTACTGCATGTGGTGGAAGATTTTCATTCAGCCTGTGATTATTTTTATCTTGTTTTGCTTAAGATACATTATCCATATCTTGCCTTAAGAGGATGTGCTTGGTGCCATTTGGCATATTTTCAAGTGTTTACTTACTGATTGTGTTTATAGAGTTGGAGTCAGAGGAGATTCACAATCTAGTTTTTTGCTAAGGCCAGCTAAGGAGGAATGTTGATAACAGCCTGGTTTAGGCTAGAATAAACTTACTTTTCCCCCTCCTCTGTGATGTATAAAACTGTATGCAAACCTTCCTTCAAAGATTTATGCCTCTCTGAGAGTGGGAGCTTTTAAATGTTTTGTGCCTTTGAATAAATTTGCAAGGTGAAAAACAAAATACCAACTTTTCTTTGTTTTACAGAGTGGTTGTCTCTCCCTCTTTGATAAAAAAGGAAATTTCACAACGTGGACCCAATGGAGTTTCTTTGGTTTTAGCAGGTGGTGGCAGGCTAACAGACGGAAACTGTCATAATGTTCAACTCGCTTTTGCTAATGGTGCAAACAAACAGGATCAACTTGAAGGGTTGGTGTTTAAGTTTTAAGACTGGTATGCAATCAGAAATCTACTTCAAGTTTGAATGTTGTTTGTTTTTTTATTATGTGTGTTTATTATCATGTGTGTTTTACATTTATATTTATATGAATTTACTAAGGTAACTTCATATTTCCTTTTTCAGTTATGTGTCTGTACGTCAAATAATGACCTCGAAAATGGCATTTGTTAATATATTACATGTCATAGGTGCATAAATGCGTGTTTCTGGACACCTTCAAATGTATGTTGTTGTGGCTGCTTTGTCATGTTTTCATTTTTACATGATGCTATATCTGTGTTAATTGTGCTTTGGTGCTCGCTGTCTCAATGAAATGAACTTAGTGGTTAAGTTGTGAAGAATGTAATATTTCCAATTATGTCAAAGATGTCTATATCGGTCAAAGTTTTCCTGTTGTAATTTTCATGCATTCTGAGGTATTATTTGTAAACGCTTTAAAACGGCGATCCGGTTTTGAGAGAGGGAAACGGGGGAAGACAGCAAGGATGCTGAACACTTCAAGTGCCACCCACATGGGGTTTTCAAATCATTGTTGTTGTTTAAAAATAGTACTTGCTGGGAAAATTAAAATTGACTTACTTGTCGATAAAAGACAAACTGAAAAGACTAGAGAAATGTTCTTACTTGAAGTTCTTTACTAACTTATTTTGGTCATTACTGTAACTGCTGTAATCTTTGAATCAGATCTTCTTTACCTCATTTGGCATTTTCTAATTGTCTAGTTTTAAGGGTTTTGTATATGCAGTTTTGGATGCAGTTTTAATATTTGCCGTTTTTCCAGATTTGAAAGTTTTTTCCTTAATTTTTTTATTGATCACATGATACTTCACTGTTTTGTAGTTTACTCTGTTTTTTTCCCCCTTTAGTTGTATCTACTTCTATTGGAATACTTGAAACTTTGTAATTTAACTTTTTTTATTATTATTATTATTATTATTATATAAGTATTTGTGCTGATTTTGCTAAGTTTTCGGTCACATTTTTAAAATTTGTTGCTAACACAATACTTGACATTTGGTTATTACTTAGTTATCACACATTTGGAAGTTTTTTCCTTTTTTGTTATTGATAATATAATTATTTTGTGTTTTATAGTTTGCTTTGTTTATGGATCTTAAATATGTTCCCTTTATTTATTCACAAAATGACTGGACTCCTGAATATAAACAATCAATAAATAACTTACTTCAATCAAATGACTTCTTCTGCCACACAGTAAGAACGATAAGTCACAAAAACAAAATCAGACATATAAAGTTAAACATAAATTTAAATGTAGTTGCAGTTGATTGGCTTATTGGAGAACCAAATTCAGTTATTGCTTTGTTATTCCATTGTTTATTATTACCTTCAGGTCATTAAGCAAAGCATCTAAATATCCAATCACAACATTCCCATTAAAAAAAAAAGCAAGGTTGTATTCTCTATATAAACTGCCTAATTGCTAGCTCTCTCTTGTTTTGGGAATATATGTCAGTATGCCTCTACTTGCTTTTTTTTCTTTGCTTTATTATGTCATTGTTTTGTCTTTAATAAATTCCTCAGTTTCCAGATACACCTCCTCAGCTGCAACAGGAATCAGAGACTGTTTTCTCCAAAACAGCTTTGAGCCAAGCTTTGTTGCCAAAGGTGACTTCATTATTGGAGGGATTTTCCCCCTTCATTATAACCAAGAAATGCCTGATCAGAACTACACCTACCGACCACAACCAGTAAAGTGCAATGGGTGAGACTACTAGAAATATATTTTTTAGTTAGAATGGTGGTGCTTTTGTTTTGCTGTTTTTAGAATCTTGATTGTACCTAAGAACCTGATAGATAAACCAGTGTTTCAAGAGCTAATGAAAGAATTTTTCTGTTCGGGAGATACGTAATCTTTCTCTTGTTTAATTTGTCTTAAGTGTTTTTTTCTGAATAATTCTTATTTGGTCATCATATTATCTTAGTGATTTGTTGTTCTTTGATTTGTTCATAACTAGTTTCATTAATTATTCATGAACAGACTGTCAAAGAGGACTTGTGTAAGAATATAGCAATTGCAGAATGTATATATTTTCATGATGTCTTAAAAATGTATAAATATGCCCTTTTGTAAAATGTGGATTATTGAAAAAAAATTACTTATTTCAGTACTTCAATTCAAAGACTAAACATTCTAGATTAAAGACACACAAATGGATATGTTTAACGTTCAATTTCTTTGCATTGCGACGATTAATAGCTTACAGGTGCTGAAAACACATATTAGAATATTATATCAGACCAATAAAAAGTTTTAATATAGAATAGTAGGATGAATAAAAATGATATCTAATACATGCTAATACACTGTACTGTAATTCCCAAAAGGTATCTGAAAAACAACATCATCAGAACAAATAGTTTAATTTACTGAATATGATTGAAATTAGACTAAGACTTAAAATGAAATTGTCAATATAGAAAAAGAAAAGTACACTTCCTCACATGTACAAGCCGCCGTTTATTCTGTATCACCAATATTTCTGTCTCTAACTACTTTTTTCAATTTTTGTGTTGTATCTTTGCTGAGCTACAGATTTGATCCAAGGGCTTTCCGTTGGGTTCAGACTATGAGGCTAGCAGTGGAGGAGATAAACCAGAGCTCAAAACTACTGGCCAATCACACCCTGGGATACAAGATTTTTGATTCATGTGCATATCCACTGACTGGTCAGAGGGCTGCTCTGGCTGTGCTGAATGGGCTTAGTGAGGAAAACTCTCCCATGTGCACAGGTGCCTCTCCGATGCTTGCTGTCATTGGAGAATCAGGATCTGCACAGTCCATTGTGGTTTCAAGACTCCTGCAAGCATTTAGAATCCCAATGGTAAAACTATCTCTTTTTCTCTAACCATTTTAATGTTTTTTTTTTTCTATTTGACGGTGCTATAGGTTTTCCTTTTTAACACAGATCAGCTACTTCTCATCGTGTGCCTGCTTTACTGACAGAAGGAAACATCCCACGTTTTTCAGAGTCATTCCTAATGATGACTACCAGGTAACACTTTAAATGAACAAAAATGAGTTAAATAAAACTTTCATCCTTCTTATATCAATCATACATTGTTAGGTCATATGGCTGTTAATGTTGAAGATGAGTTTTTAAAACATTCTTTTCAAATGCTGCTTATGTCCCAATGTACTAATTTGTACTAAATGACAAAAAGATTTTGTCATTTATACTTTTGTTGTTTGAAGTTTATTTTTTATTTTTTTTTTTTTGGGTGATAAAGGTGAAGGCCATTGCTCAACTTCTGGTACACTTTAACTGGACTTGGGTTGGGCTTATTCGAGGAGATCATGAATATGGACGCTTTGCAGTGCAAGGCTTACTGCGGGAACTGGAGGGCAGCAAAGTCTGTGTGGCTTACCAAGAAATGATCCCTCTGCTCTACAGCACACAAAGGGCAATGGAAATTATACAGGTAGATTTTTAATGAAGCATTTATTTAGCATTTGCTGATTGTCAATTCAAATATGTGGGATTGTCTATTCCCAAATATTAGCAGTTACTATAGGGGTGTGATATAACATGTAGGCCCTCTACTCAGCTAAACTTTATTTATACAACACTTTAAAACAACCACAGCTGCCACAAAGTGCTGTACATACCAAAGAAAGTTTAAACTGTATAAAACAACATAAAAGTTGTAAATAATAATAAAAAAAAAATTTTCTTATACAATTAAGGGATAAAAAATGTGGTAAAGGGTTGTGGATTTTGGTGTGGCCATATACTGAACAAATATAGCTACCTAAACATATTCAGAATTGTGTGTGTGAAACTAAGTGCACAATGCAAAGTTCTACAGTGTAACTTTAAAAGTGACTACAATTGAAAACAGAGAGGCTTTCCAGTTATCACTAAACTGCTTAAGTTTATTTACATATAACTGTCAATAGTAGAAAATAAAGGATGTAATGAAAAAAAAAAACCGGAAGGGTCATGAAATACGAGGAGGGAGAGATTATACTAAAAAAATATGTTTTTTTTAAACTATTGTTTATAAAATGGTATAATGGAGGAGTTTCATGAATTTTGCATATATATATATATATATATATATATACACACATTGGTTCAGGATTCTGTTGTTGGCTTTCTTGACAGTTTTCTTTGGGGCATTTGTCCGATATCCAACTTATATTGTATCGACCAAAATTAAGAAATATATTGCCATATAAAACATAACAGTATCACATGGGAATTTGGGATCACTGCCTCTTAAAAAAGCAAGTCAGATTAATCTGTTGACGACTTTTTTTTAAATTGTTGTTTTTTTGTTTGTTTGTTTAAGTTTGTTTTATTTTTTTCAAAATGTCAACACAACTCCAAACTGATTTTAGCATATTTTATATTAAAATATGGAGCTTTTCCTTTTAGAAATGCCTTAACAATAACTGACAATTTTTACATCAAATCAATCAGGTGTTAACTCTGCTGGCTTACATCTTTATTTATACAAATAATCCAACCAAATCCCTGATCAAGTCTACACTCTGAATTTATTAAGATTCAGCATATGCCAAAAATCAAGTTAACTTAATAATTGAAATAGATCTAATGGTTATTTCTCGATTATTTAAAAAGCTCACAGTTTTATTAATTTGTTCCTGATTGAAATATGATTAAAGCATATCAAACTGTGGATTTATAACCATGATTTGTATGTACTGTTACACCCCTACTGCACAGTTAGTAAACTTAATTCTATATGACTTTATACACACATTGGATCTAGTCATCTTCTGTTTGAAGATCTTTATTTTAGGACCTTTAGTATTTTAATCTACTTTTTCATTTACTACATAACCTCATGAAACTAATTCAAATATTCTAGATAAATTTGGCATTTATGAAGAATGACTGGAATAGATATACAATTGTCAATCTAGTCTAAACTTTTTTCTAGACAATGGTTGATTTAAAAATGACATAGAAAGTGTAAATTTAATTATCCCGACTTAATCATTATCAGGGGAACAAGCATGTTAAAAGTTACATTAATTTTTAGTAACTTTCTGATGTACTTTCACAGACAAAAAAGTATTAAAAAGTTAAGAGTTGTCTTAAAGAAAAAATATTTTTCTTTTGGTCTCAATCATCTTTACTTTTTCTTTTTCAGGTAATGCGGAGCTCTTTGGCAAAGGTAGTGGTGGTATTTTCAGCTGAAGGGGAAATGACACCTTTCCTGAGAGACTACATGATGCAGAACATTACTGGAATCCAATGGGTGGCAAGTGAAGCCTGGATCACAGCATCTGTCTTTACAGGAAGAGAATTTTACCCCTACCTGGGGGGCACCATTGGGTTTGGCATCAGAAAAGGTCATATTGCTCAACTCAGTGAATACCTGCAGACAATCAACCCTAAAAGATATCCCAATAATTCTCTGGTGGGTGAGCTTTGGGAGGCTCTGTATGGCTGCAGTCCTTTTGCATCCTTTGCCAACAAATTGGCCTTGTGTTCAGGGAAAGAGGTCTTGTTGGAACAGCACTCAGCCTACACAAATACGTCGAGTCCTAGAGTGGCTTACAATGTCTACAAGGCTGTTTATGCAGTTGCCTATTCCCTGCACAACCTCCTTCTTTGTCAACCTGGCAATGGGCCTTTTAAAAATAATTCTTGTGCTCAGAGCAACCATATTCTACCCTGGCAGGTACAGTAAAAATGTCTTTACGTTATGTTGTATATAAATCTCATTATAAACCTTGTAGCAAAGCTAATTAGGTTTACTGTTTTTCTTTCTTCTGTTACAAATGCTTCAGCTTCAGTACTACCTGCAAGAAGTCAGGTTCAAAATTGCTGGAGAGGAGGTCAATTTTGACCTGAAGGGTGACTCAGTGCCATACTATGACATTATCAACTGGCAGAGAGGCGCAACTGGAAACATTGAGTTTGTTAACGTGGGATTGTTCGACGGAACTAAGCCTTATGGAGAAGAGCTGCTGATCCAGGAGGGAAGAATAATATGGGCAGGTCATCAGAGTGAGGCAAGCTGCTCACACTGTGTTTTTACCTTCATCAGATGCCAACTGTTGAAGTTCTGTAGGTTAAGATGGAGGTGAGTAAGGTGTATAGGATGGATTGGATCTGGTACGAGCCCCTTTGACGTTACATAGTAAAGATAATATTTTTAAACATGGCCATAGAAGTACCATACATTACTCTTTCTCCAATAGCCTCACTTTCCTTCTGTGATCTGGCCATATTTATTATGATCTACTGAAAGATCCTGACCTGGAATAGGTAATATTACTCAAACTGACAATAATACACTCCTGAGCCAGCTTGGGTATAACAATAAACCTGTAACTACTATGAACTCCAAATATAATACATGCTTGTAGAAGAAGTCTGATAAAGTGCAAAGCAAATGGCAGCAGTAGCAACACAGATTAACTAGAAATTTTTGTTAAAGCAATAAATGAATTGGACCCATTGCATGAGTATCATAACAAAGAGCTAAATCCTAAGAAAAATCGACAGCAGGTGAACCATACCTCTATGATTCTACAGTCCCAGATCTAAAAACTGACACAGGTCATGCTCTTAGCAAATTGTCATACACTGTATGTCATAAATTGACAAAAAAAAAAATCTTAGTGCATGTTAATTGTGAAACTACGTTCTGAGGCTAATGAACAGTTCACATTTTTAAGTCGACTAAATAATATGATTTCAGATATTCTAGTTAAATCCAAATGCTAAAAGTAAAGGTCAAGATATGATTCTCAATAGCCAAAATATACAAAATAGAATAATATCAATCACTTTATTTCTTTACATATTCCTTTGACAAAAAACAGGCTTTCCTACTGTATTTCTTACTATGGTATGGAGAGGTAGTTCTTTAAACTTTTCTTCAACATTTTTCTGTTGATTATTTGATTTGTTTTTTACTGGTTTTACAGGTTTGTAGCTTATGGGTTTATCATATGCCATAGTTCTGTGGTGAGCACTGCAAATATTGGAAGAAAACTTCTGAGGTAAAACTGGCTTCTTAATTTAGGGTCAGGACTTCACCTTCTCTAATAAAACCCAAGAGGTTTCAAGATGACCTTAATGACTCAGAATGAATGCAAAACTTTTATTTTGCCATTATTAAAAAAATATATTTTATTGTATAACATTTAAACCTTGGTTTAAGCTACAGAAAGATTAGTCCTAAAGAACCATAACTCAACACAAAGGCTGGAAAAGGTCAAGGTCAACTTTATTTATATAGCACATTTACAACAACATTGCTGGCCAAAGTGCTTCACAACAATCATATAAAAACAAGGAATACAATACAAGGAATACATAAAAAAAAAAGTCTGTGCAAACAGTTGGGTTTTAAGAAAGGATTTAAAACAGCTAACAGTCGGAAAAAGAGAGAAACAATGTGGAGCAATGGTAGCTGAGGTGGGAACCTAAGAAAGTTGTGCATAAATAACAGCTGTAAAACTTTGATCAAGTAAGGAAATTAGATGTAAGGTAAGAGAGAAAAGTTGCTCTACATTAACTAAATTCTTCCAGAAAACCAATACCTATTGAAATGGTTCTGTTAACTAATAAGTTAGGGAGGCACTTCATATTTAACATCTGTTTTCGATTCATATAAGGTATTTGGCTGAATACATATGGGCATGGTGACATCTTGTACACTACTGCACACCGCACATTTGTAAAATCCCTAAAAAAAAAATGGTATGTTTTATTTATGCATAAGAAGTAAAGCCCTAGAAATAAAATACTGTATACTTTATATGTTATTATGTCTGTATTTCGATGGGTAGGAAGGCATATTTTATCTCAAAACAACACATTAGGGTTAGTTTTAAAAACTTGGATTTGTTTGGTCTTGTTTAGGTGCCAGTGTCTGTCTGCAGTCCCAGCTGCCCTCCAGGTTTCAGGAAAGCTGTCCGTCGTGGGCAGCCTGTATGCTGTTTTGACTGTGTACCATGTGACAGTGGCAAAATTAGTAATCAGACAGGTAAGACAAAAAAATAGGGCAGTCGTAATATCAGTTACAGTAATGTAGTATTTTAATTATAAGTTTTCCTCTTCAAATCTATTTTTGGTAGATTCATTAGAGTGCATGTTTTGTCCTGAAGACTTCTGGTCAAACCAAGAGAGAACAGCATGCATCCCCAAGAGGGTGGAGTTCTTGGCCTATGATGCGTTGGGTATACCTCTGACAGTCATCTCAGTAGTGGGTGCTTCGCTGACTATTGGTGTTTTTGTTGTGTTTTTCTACCATAGAAATACAGCAGTTGTTCGAATGAATAATTCAGAACTCAGTTTTTTAATTCTGTTTGCCCTAATACTGTGTTTCCTATGTTCTCTTGTTTTTATTGGAGAACCCACAGTCTGGTCCTGCATGCTTCGTCACACTGCCTTTAGCATTACATTTTCACTTTGCATCTCCTGCATCTTGGGAAAAACCCTGGTTGTTTTGGCTGCTTTCACTGCCACCAGGCCAGGGGACAACATTATGAAGTGGTTAGGACCCAAGCAGCAGCGTGTCATTATTTTCAGCTGCACTCTTGTACAGGTAGTTATCTGTGCCTCCTGGCTAATTGATGCTCCCCCTTATCCAATACGAAATACTAAATATGAGCGCTCAAAGATTATACTAGAGTGTAGTGTTGGGTCAAGCTTTGCCTTTTGGTGTGTTTTAGGATACATTGGTCTCCAGGCATGTCTTTGCTTTTTGCTGGCATTTCTGGCTCGCAAGTTACCTGGAAACTTCAACGAGGCCAAATATATAACCTTTAGCATGTTAATCTTCTCCACTGTGTGGCTTGCTTTCGTTCCTGCTTATATAAGTGCCCCCGGAAACTATGCAGATGCAGTTGAGTCATTTGCCATTTTGGCCTCCAGTTTTGGATTATTGTTTTGTTTGTTTGCTCTCAAATGTTACATTATTCTGCTGAAACCAGAAAAAAATACGAAGCAGCACCTTCTAGGTAAAGAATAAATGTAAATCACATCTTTTTAAAAATAAGTTCTTGACATTTCTCATTAGTAATGTTTTGTTTTTCATGAATCTTTTCAGTCTATTTCTAATCCATTAAAAAGTGTTTTATCATTTACTGTCTGTTCAATTTCTATGTGTTTTAGCCAGGGTAATGTGATATTAATTATGTGAGTGACAAAATAAAATGTACCAAAACAAAGAATTGTGAAATGTATGTATCTTTTTAAATGCCCCAATAAGATCAAATTCTTCTTCTTCAAAAAGATAATTGTTCTATTATTTATGGGGACACATTGTGGTTTATTAATGGCTTTGTTAGAATGGATTTTGATTGATATTAATCAATAAAATATTTACTGTACTTCAATTATATACATAAACGTATTGAATATTTAATTAAATACCTTTAGTTCCATCAAACATTGCTCCATGATAACGTGCCCAAATGGATGTAGTGTTAGGAAAATGGATAAAATATCTATTGGACCACTGAATTTATCAAAACAGCTAAAAAATAAATTCAATCCCACTATAATTATAATAACTTTAATTGTTATACAAAAAATCATGAATAATTTGTTCTAATAGTAATTCAACAAAGTAAAAACAAATAATTGTCTCCACTTAAATCGGTTGTTCAGGTGAACAGGATCAGGCAAGTGTCAGCAGTTCCCAATGTCCAGCTGGAATTTTCTGATTATATTCTAAATACATAGTGGAATATATCTTTTGGGGTCCCCTCTCAGTGACAGGGTCTTGGAATGTATCCTCACTTTATAACATCACCCAAAGTTTCCTGTTCGGAGGTTTTTTTCTACAAAACCTATTCTCCAAATCTAACTTCTGGTATCATATGACGAGAACTAGAATTATTCTTATCTATAATGTATGTTAAAAATATGCCTAATGATGTGAAACAAAGCATGTAAGAAACAAGTAACCCATTTAGAAATATAAAGAAAGCTGACTGTTAATCAAAAAATGATTAAAAAAAATCATATATTTCCATAATGAGGTAGAAAACTGCCCCCCAAAATATTTAAACAATCAATGACACAAATTTCTTATTTTTTATTTCAGTCAAAAAGGTATTATCACCCAAATGTGACTTATAGATGTTATTCATTTGAAATAGTCACTGTGAAAGGAAGAAATTTTGTTTTCTTGATAAAGAACTAATGCACAAACTATGGTGTATATCTATTATATTTTCCAGTCATACCTTTTCTTGTATTCCTTTCAGGATGCAGCAGAATTATGTAACATTTGGGCAGAAATATACATAACAACAGGCCAAAACTGGAGGCTAATATTGCAAATATTTCCACAGCTACTGAAAACTTTCCAGGTGAACTAACATAAGCTGGGATAAAACAGAGCCACACTGCCCAGAAAATCAACATACTGAAGGTGATGAGCTTGGCTTCGTTAAACGTATCTGGCAGCTTTCGTCCGAGGAATGCCAAGAGAAGGCACAAAAAAGCAAGCAGGCCAATGTAGCTGAGGAGCAGGTAAAAACCAAGTGGCCATGGCTCCTTACACTCCAAAATAATCTAATTAGGGAAATTAATGAAACAAAATTATTACATGAACAATACTGGATTGTTAGAATTGCATTTGACAGGATTAATGTTATGACTTTCTCTGCTTACTTTTCCATATGAAGCTTGGTATGTGAGATTCCGGATAGGAAAGGGTGGTGCCCCCAAAAGCCAACCAACACACAGACAAATCTGAGAGAACAAAGAGCAACAAAAATATTATTACAATATTAACGATGACAATAATCTCTTTAGGGTTAGCACAGCTGTTTATGTTTTCTACCTGAGGAGTTGTTGTGCAGAATATCATAGTCCTTTGTTGGGATGGACCAAACAGCTTCGGACCCTTGGAGCTTGGTATATTAGCTCGAAAAGCCAAAAGCACCACAACAGTTTTTACCAGCAGACAGGACAAACAGATAACAAAGCTAATCCCAAATGCCGCCTGGCGAAGCATACATGTCCAAGCTGAGGGTTGGCCAATAAACACCAGGGAACAGAGAAAACATAGCTTAAGTGACAGAAGAAGCAAGAAACTTATTTCTGAGTTGTTGGCCTTCACAATAGGGGTAGTGCGGAAACAATGGAAGATCACTGTAATGATGATTGTTAAAATGACCCCAAGCAAGGTTAGTACAACCAGGATGATTCCCATGGTCTCACTGAAAGACAGGAACTCCTCAATCCCTGCGACACATTTCACTTTGTCTTTGTCGGACCAGTAATAGTCTGGGCATTTAATGCATTCAGTGGAGCCTTTGGGGACACAGAAAATATAATTAGATAAATTGTTTATATAGTCTTAATGCTTGATTAATATTATACCAAATTTATGTAGCATCAATGATATAACATGAAATAAAAATAAAACATATATACCCCTGGCAGATTAAGGTTTTAAATTAATCTTTTTATTTCTTTTATGACTGAAAACGATAATGTTTTTTTTAAATGTGCAGTTAAAATTTTATTTGAATCTGTTTTAGAATTTTAAAAGTAGCCTCAGTATAGGGGTTCGGCAAGAACGCCACCAACATTAAAGACACAGAGCTCTTTAACCAAGAATAAATTATTGAGAGGTAATGAAACAAACAAACAAAAATTAAAATCAGGCTAGTAAGCGGAGATTTAAAAAAAAATGGCACCATATTGTTTAGTATAATATAAATAGAAACATAATTCATATTATTTTCAGTAGTATTAAATTCATGTTTTAGGAGAAAAATGCAACCAGTGTTTATTAACCACTTTCTGTTTTCTTTCGATAGCATGCATGAAAATTTGACTTGTATATATTTGCTTTCATATGGATGTAGTTTCAGCAACAGTAGCAGTTTGCCATTATAAACCAATGTCTTATACACAACAGACAATCAGTTACACAAGCAGCAACACCTGCTGATTGCCTGCAGGTGAGACCCTGATAGTAGGATTTCCCCGTTTTGTGATAGAGATGAGCATGACAACAGCAAGCCAGGCATATATTAGTGTTCTTCCACTCAAACTGATGTTAATTTTTCATTGTCTTACTATATTTTAAGTCACCAAAGGCTGTCAAATCTCACGCATTGATTGTGTGAAACGCATTTGAGCAAATGCACACGTTCACAAACCACACTTTGAGTTTCTCACTCTTGAAGTAATGCAAATATATTTTTTGACGTGCGGATTGATACAAAAATATGTATACCTAAGATAGCAGACAGAGGCTCTAAAATCGATTCTCACATTCTAATTTCATTCATTTTTAGGTCAAGCACATTAACAAGAAAATGCGACCATTTAATAGGATCTACCTTTTCTTCCGCCTGGTAAGTGTGTAATGGATCAGTATGTAATCCCATGTACAGTCTGATGCGCTACCTGAGCAAACAGTGGTAGATCCTCTTTGGCTGACGTGTTGTTTTGGCTTCACAAATAGCCAAATCACAATCTTCGATGTTTGTGTGAACAGTGAAAAGTCGTTTTAACACACGGTAGATTGAACCACAACTTTGAATATGCTGAATCAAGGATGAGGACAGAGGAGGAGAGTATAGGTACTCTACTGTTGCTACACAGAAAGCAGGTACAGTGCAGTTACAATGTGAGAATATTCAGAGCTCTAAATGGCACTAAGCACTGTTGTAGTTGGAGTCACATCCATAAAAAAAGTTTGTTTTGTAATTATTTTAAAAAGGTTTTAAAATAATTACAGAACAATTATGTGCTGTTGGTGACATGTTTGACACCTTTTATTCAGTCTGTTTTAGCTGGAATACCTGTCTCTTTCTTTTTTTGTTTATATCTACCAGAATGATGCAATTTGTGCCTTTGAGGATGGGAAATATGTTTGCAAGTTCCACCTAAATGGATTTAATTTATCAATAATACGTAATGTAATACGACAGAGCTTCTAATGTGGCTGCAATTGACTAAAATCTTGAAAAGGGAAGCAGGTGCCACATGGTGATTTATCCAATCAGCTTGAAAAATTGTATTGAATGTCCCTTCCTTTTGCAATCATTGTCCACAAGACCCATTCCAGTTGGATACTGTATAGATTTCAAACAGAACTACACTTATAATTCTGGCGAGTGAATTAGAAAACCATTTTTATTTAGCAGTAAAATGATTTCTTACATTTAACAAACACATTAAGTGCATTTCCAAAAAAAGTATTGTATCAGTATCGGCTAACACCAGACTCTCTCATTGGAGCATAAAAGAAGTTGGTGGTATCAGACATATTTAGGAATAGATGACAGGGACATAATCTGCTCATTTTCATATAAGACAATATATTTAAAGAAATTAGAAAATGTATCAAAATAGTCTGTTAATTTGTGATTTAAAATAGTGATTTTGCTATTGTTGCTTGAAATCTCAAGCTCAGATCACAAATTACCTTTCCTATTTCCAATCAGAAACAAACTTCCCAATTGAATTAAAATATAAGTATACATCTAGATCTGCCAGGAGTCAGATTATGTTTGGAGTATATATATATATATATATATATATATATATATATATATATATATATATATATATATATATATATATATATATATATGTATATATGAATTACAAAATAAGAGTTTTTTTACCTGACTTGTTGCTTATCTCTCCATCTGCACAAGGCAGACAATCAAAGCAACAATGAGGTCTTCCTGGACGTCTGGCCTGTCTGCTGCCAGGGGGACATGGAGCACTGCACTGAGAAACAGGCACCTAAAGGATTACCACAGAAGCATGACTGAATATGTTTCTGTATCCACTTCACACATTTTAAAGCAAATTTATTGATTAGAATTTTCTAAATGTAAAAATCACATTTGACATACCTGTAACAAGCCTCCTGTCCATACAATAGTGCTTTCATTTATCCTCAGTTGTTGTGCTTGTGGAGCTGAACCATCATAATCTCCAACTTTAACAAATCTGTTGATGACATGATAATCTCAATAAAATCAAGATGGGTCTCATTTCAAATGGCGAAGATGCAGGGATTGGGATAATAAAAGGATAAGACACATAAAAGAAAATGCCTGATAATTGATCTAGACCCTGGTGGGCTGGAAAAAAGAAATTCTAGTCAAAAAGGAATGTACCAACCTGATTTTCCCTTTGCTGTCCTTCTGCCAGTTAACAATGTCGTATAAAGGGACTGGCTCTCCTTTAGTATCAAAGTAAACTCTCTCCTGAAACTGATTTGTGAAATTCCCTTTCTTCAGATGGTACAGCAACTAGTTGGGAAAAAAAAAGAAAAAGTCACACATATTCATTAAAAATGAGCAACGATTTGCTTTTAATAAGTAATTTCACATGCCTGCCCTGGAGTGAATTTTGTGTATTTATCACACCGTCCCTCATTTTCTGCTGAATCACAGTTAAGTAAGGCGTGTAGAGCATGGGCAATGGCATATACAGCCTTATACACATTGTAGGATATTCTGACCTGAGATACATCAGTGTAACTACTTGATGTGAGACTCAGGTCTTCTAAACCTGTACACAAAGGATTTTTTACAGCATCAGGATGATCGTAAGATGGCCCTTTGAGTGGATCTGTCTTATTTGCATTAGCTTTGTTTCCATCATAACTGAGTTGACAGCCAAACTGCTCTTCCCAGAACATGTTGATGAATTCCATTCCTGGTTTGGGAGATGGACGGACATTCAGAAGGAACTCTCTCAATCCAGGGATACTGACTCCAGGGAAGGAAAAGCCAAGCGTTCCCTCTAAAAGGCTGTGGAAGTTTGGAAATGTTAGGAGGCTAGCAGTTACCCAGGCTTCACTGGCTATCCACTGAATACCTGTTACATTCCTACGAGTAAGCTGAAAAATATGGGTACAGAAATGTACGGGTTAGCAACAAAGAAAATCAAATTCATGTTCTGAGCTTTGGTCGTCCTAAAATTATCTGACTATCTTCTGTATTCTGCATATCAACAGAGAGACTTACTTCTATAAATAGATCAAATAGCTGTCCCTCTGTTGCAAAAACCACCACAACATGTGCAGTTGACATCTGCAGTATATTTGCCATTTCTCCTATCTCAGCCTCTGTTGGTGATTTTGGAATAGTGAGATGAAATGCCACACATCCACCTCTGTGTCTAAAGTGATTTGAAAATGCTTGTATTCCATACTGACTGTAGTCATCCTATACGAGAAATTAAAAGTGTAAGTAGTTTACGTTAAACAATTATTGAAATTTGGGAAATTTGAAGGAAAGCCTAATCTTACCGTAGTCCCTATTGTGCCCACCCAGAGCCATCCTAAGAATGTAACCAGCTGTACAAGACCTCTGACTTGAAAAAGATCATTTGGCACAGTACGCAAAAATGATGGATACACACGTTTGTCACTAAGACAGGTGCAAGTTGCAAAATAACTCACCTAAGATGAGACATAGGTTATCATAACATCTAAATATAAAAAAAAAACAACACACACACAAAAAAAATCTAGGCATTATATTATTCTTTTTCTTTGCTTTTCTTACCAGCTGGATATTGAAAGAGCCAAGAACTTGAGCTACAGCTCTAGTTGGGGAGGAGGATGCAAGACCAATGACAACAGGTATTGGAGAACCAGACAGACATCTAAGTGATTCCTCCTGTGTCAATGATAAGTTTGGTCTCCTGTCATCTGACTTTAAACCTTCTCTTCCAGATATTTTTTCATTTGCCAAATTTATTGTGTTTTTCACTTTCCATATTTGGTTCCCACTGGTCACAGACTCAGGGAAACTAATTAAAGAGAAAAGAGCCTGCAAACTGCTGTGGACATTGTCACAGCTGTCTAAGATTTGATAGCCAAGTTTAACATCTGGTAATAGGCTTGAATGGTTGTTTATTTCCTCAACAGCAAACACCATGGTCATCATCCAACGGAAAGCTCTTTGATCAAATCTAGACAAAAAGGGGGCACGTATTTTCCAAGTGTTAAACATTTGTCAATTTGTTAAACATTACAAAAGGACAGCACAGAAAAAAAGTTATTTATATGTAACTAAATCAAATTCTTCACTTACCCATTGCAAACTGTGATTGGGGGTTTGTCTTGGTAGTTGGGCTGAAGCTCAGGTACCAAATAGTGCAAAGGGAAAATCCCTCCTATGACAACATCACCATTCATCTGCAAGGCTAAAGGCTTATTATCTCCTATTTTTACACACTGAGGTGAAGTAAATTCATTAACACTAAATTCCTCAATTTGCATATCATTCTCTTTCATGGTGTTTTCTGTTTCCTCAGCTCCCTTTTCTATATTCAGAATGTTCCTTTTTCTAATACTATAACAAAAACCTGAGAATACAATTAGAAGAATGCTAAATAAAATCCAAAGATGCAGAAACAGTGCCTTAAACAGGTTGACCAGCTTTCCCATCCTGACCCCATAAAGACTGTCTATAACAGAGACTCTGACAGACTAAGTTAAGACAAATTAGAATCTGTTATTATGCATACTTTATTTGTTTGGTAATATGAGTCATCACCAGCTCAACCAATCACAATAACAAGGAATAGCAGAGAACAAAAGCCAATTACTTTCTCTCATTTTTTTAAACTGTTTTCATATGAGCACAAAGTATATGTGGTAAATCTAAATAATTAGAGGCAGAGACTGATTCATAAATGTATTTAAACTGCAGTTTTGATGGTTCTATTTATAGAAGTAAAAAATAATTTAATGTGATTTGTTTATGGCATTAAAATAGCCCCCATAAATAAAATAATTTAAAATAAAAAAATTTAATTAAAATATTCCTGTACCGGGGGCTGCTGCTCAATGTCGCAGTGGGTAGCACTGCGACATTGAGAAGGTTCTGGGTTCGATTTCCGGCCCAGGGTGTTTCTGCTCCCTGAGCATGCGTGGGTTCTCTCCGGGTACTCCAGCTTCCTCCCACAGTCCAAAAACATGACTGTTAGGTTAATTTGCTTCTCTACAGTCTCCTTAGGTGTGAGTATGTGTGTGAATGGTCCTGTTTGTCTCTGTGTTGCCCTGCGATGGACTGGCAACCTGTCCAAGGTGTACCGTGCCTCTTGCCCATAGGCGTAACTTCCTTAAGGACTGGTGTGGACATGTCCCCACCAATCTTGACCGG